TTTAGAAGTTAGTTTTTAAGTTTCTACTTGTATTCAATTTCAAGTCATTGTAATTGTTAAAATCATTGAAAGACATTTATTGTCGAACAAGAAATATTTTTCATGTTTCTTTTACAAAATCTGACAAATTTTGTGTACCTGAATCGAGCACGTGAGCGCCTAACCACTGGTATGCTCGAGTCGTAAGGCTTTCCTTTGACGTTCGACGCTACCGGCGCCGGTATAATTAACATTCTGCGATGCGAAAATACCAAAATTGATTTCTACGAATGCTACATATCCTCAATCACTTTTTTGTTTGTGAATAAATCGTATGGTAAAAAGCATTTACAAACATATTCTGAACCCTGTTGTTTTTCTCTGTCCTTTATAATGATCCATTGTCACATAAACTGAAATTTTGTAAAGTTTTTCTTATTTATGTATTATATTTTTCTTATTTTCTAAAATCTGTTGCATTTTCGGTAATTTCTAATACCAACGCACAAAACAATTATTGAGTTTGTGTATTAATAATCAATTAACAAATAGAAAATAGAATTGCTTCTGCCAATCAGTGATGAGATTAAGTTGCTCCTTGTATTTAATTTCAAGTCATTGTAATCGTTTCCCAATCAGATTTATAACGTTTTCCTCGCGGAGATCTCCGAGCAACTTACCGTATTTGGCGGTTTTCAATGAGGAAATAAATTGGAAAGAGTGTAGATAACAAAGACATAGCTTCTATTTTTGTGATAATGCCCAATAAACGTGGCAACTAGGTTTTAGGACGATGCTGTGCAGAATACTGCGCAAAAAATAAAAAGAACTTTGGCCAAAAGAGATAACGCGCAGGTGTCACTGGATTAGAAGAAAACAAACCGACACATTATCAAACGCTCGAACACGAATCCTAGTTTCAAAGCTCAAAAGTGCTGGTGTCAAATGATTACACTATCTTCCAATATGTTCTCCTCGACTATTGATGCGTAAAATGAAATTAAATAATAAAATAAAATGAAAAACAAAGAATTCTTGATACATCATTACATTATAGTCATTTTGAAAACAGATATTTAGAGGCAATTCTATAAAAAAAGTGTGTGGTCTCCTATTCTAAACTAGCGTTATTACGACGTCTTCATGGTTTGCAAAGTGAACACAAGTTTTCAAATAAAATACGAGGTTTATAAACGTAACATATCCAATATCCATATATTTTTTCACATCATTGTACGTATTTCTTCGAATGCTTTCATTCCTACTTCTTTCCCCAGCCGGGATAAGCTTTAAGTTTCAAAATGGTCTCCCGACATGAGAGGTAGTCTACAGTTTGTAAGTTTGTGAGTGTAGGGGCAGGAGACAAAGAAGAGGAAAGAAAAATCGTGCGCGGTCCGTGGCCCGTTTGATCGCGTACTGCTCTGGCATTAGCCTGGTGTCGATCGAGGAAACGGCAGGAAACTTCCGAAGAGAGCAGCCGGCAGCTAGACTTGTCCTCCAGGCAGCGTCTGAATGCGACCGAGTTAGTGACCACCACCCCGGGACTCGACACTAGCATCTGCCGATTAGTCGCTGCAGAGTTAGCGGTAATGCTCGCTCATAGCCCACTCAACCGGTCGCCCGCATTCCAGGTCAATATTTTGAAAGGAAGTGTTTGCTGAGTAGGGCCACTATGTATCAGTAAACTATCATCTCGGGTACAAATGAATGTTAATTTACGTGTTCATTACGAGTGTAAACAACGATAACCATTTGCTTTAGTCACAATTGCCAATTGGGAGCTCTTTTGCAAGTAACTTTGCCACTTTTATCTTGCAAAGGGAAAACTCTATCGGAACAATATTGTGCTTTAATTATTTTTTTAAACCAATTTATTCAATGTGAAAACCTTTGTATCAGCACTACAAAATCAAATTAATTACAATATTAATGGGACTGCCGTTTCTTTCCACCAGAAAAACGACGTTATTTGGAATGGAGATCCCCTTGTTAGGAAAAACGAAAATGACTATTCGATTACTAGGGTGTTTTAATGCTGTGTTTACATTAAAAGATATTCAGGTACGATATGTTTCAAAACAACTGATTTTCAAATGCGATAAAATAACCACTCTAATCGTAATTTGTTTAGCGAACTATTTGTTGCTTTTATGTGGAAATAACACAACTTGTGATAGGCACGCTCCTTGCATCTAGAGACTAGAAGCATCTCTTATTTTTCCCCATCCGAATTGTTGAATTCTTCACACAGTGCATCATAATCTTGCATGATAAATTTCCCTGGAGGTAATGACATTAGGCAAATTATCACTTCGAATCGATCTCCATTTCTTCACTATCCCTCCCTTATCTACTTTAACGTTATACTCGAAATGAAAAACCTATTGAACACGTGCATCCCAACTTGAAGCCACTTAAATAACGCGCGAAGCGGATATACCGTATACAGTTTTCGGAAAATTGTATTGACGTCTGCACCCTTTGGCTACGCGGCACTCGTGACGTGGTCACACGTTGCCGCCAGTCCGCGTGAACGTTTGGGCGACCAGAGGCCGGACACAAAAAGGCTTTACACGCAGTAATATCGATTTCGCAATTTTACTCGAAGCGTTGCGACTGCCGCGAAATAAATGGCTCTGCTGAGATTACAAACATTTTCCTCGCATTACAATTACAATTTCTGAGATGTGTCACTATTCTGGTGCGCCATCAATAAGCCACATTTGAAGGATTGGAGGATGTGAATGATTCACCTCTACTCAAAAAGTTCACAAAACTATTATTTTTTCTAATTATTAAGTTGTTGGCTGATTAATTTTTCTGCAAGTGCTACGGCCATAGTCCCGTTACTGTAGTGAATGCTTTTATGAAGGGGACTGTACCTCCCCCGCTGGACGGAGAGACCCGGGGCCGACCTGCAGGGGATTTCCCTTCCACGAGTCTCCCCCAGCGGGGCACTGCCCCAGCCGAGAGAAGCTCTTATCTCCCGACTGGCGCGCTAGTGTAGAGCATGTAAGGGGAGAGGATAGGGCAAGGAAGAGGAAGGAAAGATCGTGCTCGCTCCATGGCCCGTTTGTTAGGGTTCTGCCCCGACATTCGGAAGTGAGTGGAGAAACCATGGAAAAATATCGATTAGAGCAGCCGACAGCTAGAATTATCTAGACAACGGCTGTAGTCGATTTAGCTGTCTAGGAAGTTCGCACATTTGCCACAGACAGATCTCGAACCTTAGGAACTTCCGATCAGATTGTTGGCACAGACAGCGGCAATGCTGGATCTGAGCTCAACGCAGCTGGTACTAAGGTGTTCATAAGTGAAGTACATTACCTTAAAGTTTCCACGGAAAATGCAATCAAATTATGAACCTTGAACACCTTTTCTTTTACGTTCACTGCAAACTTTCTTACTTCTAAATTCGTACCCCGTATACTCTTCACAACGTGCGACTATGGTTATTTCTCTAAGATGCCTATATGTGTGTGTCTGGACAAAGGGAATTTTTTTTCGCGAAATACTCGTAAAGAAGACACAAATCATAACCCCCGATATCTCTTTGTTCATATTCACCCTATGCTTCCCAACTTCCCGATTCATGCCCCGTGTACTCTACGTATGTGATTAAGCATTCACAGCATTCTTCCCTATACCAGACTCATCCCACATCCATGGTGTTACCGACTGGGAAAGTGCCCCTGACCCCCCCCCCCGAAAAAAAATTGTGTAAAAGGATATATTGGAATGGATTCTCGCTGACCTTTACCCTATCTCCTGAATCGCCTCCCCAAAACAATTTGTTGTTAATAAATGTAAAAGCTGTCTTTTTTATAAAAAGAGTACCGAGAGTTTACTATACCATTTTTGCTAAACCCTTATTATTTTGATCGCATAAAATGATAACAGAATTTGTCCAGGTTTGCTAAAATGTTCTCAAAGACGTCATAACGATGTATAACGCATAATTCATTTTCTCTAAGATGTTGATGCATCCATGCCCACCCACCCCTTTCGCGAGTGGCTAACGTCTGTTTCGTCGGCAGCGGGGTGATGCGGGAGCAGTACTGCATCTGCTCGCCCAAGACGGACTTCGAGCGCCGCCTGCTGGTGACGGTGGTGGTGCTGTCCGTGGTGTGCGTTGCTTTGCTGGCCACGCTGGGCGGCTTCATGCCTTCCATCATGTGCGGCACGGCCTGCGCTGACGAAAATGGCGGCGGCGGGAGCCTCACCGATCTCTTCCCGTTCATGGGCACTCGCATCGAGCGCATGCTGCCGGGGTAACGCCTGCGGGGCGTGTTTGTGAGAGACCATGACGTCCGAGATACCAGGCAGCGTCGGAGGAGGAAGAAGAAAAAATTGTGCCAACACAAACGCGAGATGACGAAACCTCCGAAAAAATCGGAACTGGCTTTTCACCGAACAATATTTCAGAAAAAAGGTTGAGTTCTGTGGTGGTTAAATCAATGACGGATTTTAAAACGGTTGTGTTTCAATATTAACTTCGTTAAAGCAAATTATAAAATATTTCTGTTGGGCTAATTACGTTTTGTCATATTTTGACTTAAGAGACGTCTGCCTTCGGAATGGACTTAATTTTACAACAGAATCCTCTGGTATTTCTATAAATATCAATTAAAAAAAGTAGCTTCAGAAGCCTATTATTACATATCTAATGAATGAAATGTATTTTTTTTGTATCGTGAGTTGATGTCATGGAAAATAATAACAAAGCTAATAGAAAAAATAAATATGCTTCTTCTAATATTTCTCTGAGGTAACTTTGTGTAGCTGTCTTTAAAAATTAACTTCCATAAGAATTAAACACAAAATGAATAAGCACTTAGATGACATTTTTATATGTTTGGAATCTTCATAAAATTATGTTGTTGTTTTTTTCTCTTATTTAAACTTGAAATATATTTTTCCAATAAAATAATAAGAAAAATTTCAATTTATCACAAGCTTAGAAAATGTTACAATTTCTTTAATTTCATCTTCACTTTGAACAATGAAATGAAATGACTTTGGTTATTGAAAAACTTTCATTACTGTCTAAGAGCCTGCCATTTTGATACAGATTTGACATTCAGAGTATCAAAATAAAGAAGGATGTAAACCACAACATATATTACAAAAACTACAAATTGCTTAATTCATGTTAATCTTACAGAGAAAGACATGTTCAGTTAATACAGCTTTATTTCATCACATTTGCTCACAGCGCAAAGCGCGCGCTTCGCGGCGTGCCAGGATACATTACAGTGCTGCAGTGCATAAATCATTGAGCTCATGCACAATATACAGAAGGCCCAATAGCTCAGGAACTTCACACACAAGGTCCTACATCAGACACATGACTTTGGGATACAAAAACTAGAATCTGTGACCCTGGACTACAATATCTCAATATGGAGATGTAAGACTCAGGACTAGCAAATTAACAAGGCACTGGACCATACATACTTGAAGGTCATGGCTCCAGTTGCCCCATGTAGATCTGACTGCACAGACTGGTTCAACAACCAAAGGGCATAGGTCTTAAATACATTTAAAAGAATGGTTCTCTGAAACAATAATCAGGACTGTTCTGCAGATGCAAAAATGCATCTTATTCATGTTAAAGGTTAAGGGAAAATGCAAATGCAGGCATGAGGATACAGCAGGGCAATCAGTGATGACTGGTATGGCATGTTAGAAAGTGTGGGCATTGCGGCACACCCCACAACCCAAGGCAAACTCTTCACCAGTCGGTGGGTGCTTGACATGCAGCGGACATTCATCACCATCCAACTGCTTGGCTTTCGGCCCTGAAATCATTTCAAAGAGAGCACCCATTTAGGTAAATTTGCCATTCCTAAAGCAAGAGTAACATGAGATATCACGTGGATGAATGATCTAAACTCTCTGAAAGTGAAAGATCTCGCTTTCCAATCTAGGTTTTGTATAAATAATATAAATATGTAAAATGTATTAGGTGGTATTTTGCATGTAAAAATATTTATATTTTTATTTGAAAATAAAAGATTTTATAAACAAAACAAAATAAATTCATTTTAATGAAAATTAGATGAATGTAAAATGTAGTCTTTATTCCTTTATTACTGATATATGCTGGACCACTTTTCAAAAAATATTTTATTTCTTTGACAAAATACACATAATAAAAATATATTAACACTTATTCATTATTTATAAATCTACTCTGATGAAAAATAGATTTAAATTTAACATGTTGATGTAATTAAAAGACTTGGAGGGCAATGCACATATTTTCATCACAATGTTTATAGTAATTAACTCAACTGTTCTACATGCAGTACAACTACATTCAGTAACTCAACAAACAACTCAATAAAAAAACACAGGAATACAATTTTAAAAGAATATTTCACACACATAAGCAATACACTGCAAACAGCCCAATTACTATGAAATTTTCTGATGAAAATTGTGAGATACGAGAAATGCTCAATATTCAACCATTTTCTCCCTTCCTTTTTTATTGAAGTCCAGATCTTCTTTGAATGGTTTTGCTGTATCTTCATTTTTTTAATTAGAATTTGATACATTTTTGGTAAATTAAAGCACAATATATTATTGAAAAAGTCGCCAGCCTACACATTAAGTTAGCTCCCCTGCTTTTTGTTTCTAGTAAGGAAATTCATATACGAACTGGAATTTTGTACGACATTGTTATAAGTAATACATAAAAATACAAATGTAGTCCCTCATTTTTCACCACAGTAACATAAATACATTTTCTTCATACATAGGAATCTTTCGAATTTCTTCTTGGAAAAAAGAAGTCGGCTGCCGCAGTAGCAAATTGTGCACGTTCTGTTTGATCGCAGAGTTGTCATCCAATCTTTCAGCACCAAATGCCTTCTTAAGTGGACCAAACATTTAGTGGTCACATGGGGACAAGTCTGAACAGTAAAGTGCGTGTTATAGAAGACGCCACTGCTATTTCGAGAATCAATCAGGAGTCGAAGCTAGTGAACACGACCGTGTGTTGTCATGCAGGATGACATCGCAGCGGCCATCCGATCCATCCACCGCCAGTAGCCGATAGTTGGCATCCGATCCAATGGTATGGACAGTTACACCCACCTCTGATGCCATACGGGCAACAGCAATGCGGCGATCGCCTTCAACAAGCTCACGCATTGCTTGAATACTGTCTCAATTCACGCTGGTCGCAGGATGCCGTCCAGGACAACAATTGCCCACATTATCACGACTATTTCGACGCTTCTGGTCTGGATTAAATGCCCAAAGAAGCGTAACCGAACTGTATTCTAAGTCTCTTGAAAATGTTATTGAATTTCACGCATTTGTTGGCGAGAAACGAATAATTACGCATTGAGCAACATGCACTGATTTATTTCTGTTCGTTCTAGTAATAGTGCAATGGCAGACGTGAAAACGAGGACCGTGTGCTTGGCTATCTCTTCTGTATATTCCCATCAAAGATTCCCGGGGACGTCGGGCTGACTACGTAAATACGCGAGACAAATAAACGAAGTTCCGGTTTGTATTGGAATGTCTCTCTTACATTTCGCCTTACCCCACTGGGTGCTTCTGCAAGCGCAAAACGATCAGATACCTCGGAGGGGGCGGGCGACGCCCCCTTGCTCCCGTGGTTAAGGGAAAAATGTTCATGTGTAAACTGATCTACGCTACGTACTATCTTCAGTCACGTGGGCGGTTATCTGCACACATTTCTGCCAAATCATATTGGGAGAACGGCTTGTAGCATGTAGAGATTATATTTATTAATTTCACAAACGTTGGCAAATGTGTGCTGAAACTGAACTCATTTCACCAACTGACAATGTTCGTATGAAACTTGAGTATTTATGCCGCTACAGAGCAAGAAACAAACACTTTAAACATTCTCCTTAAAGAAACATTAGTTGCACTGCTTATTCTTTAAGAGTCGCTATATTGGAATTTATTTGAATGTGATTACCGCGGTCTCTTCGAAATTCGGCGATTTTGGGAAGTCTGTTGTTAGCTTCCATGTGCAAGGCTTCACTTTCTCTAGCAAATAATTCCAATTAATATCCTTATAGGCATGTGGCATGAATTGTATAAAGCCTTATAATATTATTATTAGTGACGATATCGGAATAAACAAAATCCCTCATAATAATAATACCTAACATCCAACTGCACTCCCTGAACTAACACTTACGAAGCATTCTCCGCTAGCGTATTAGCCCTCATGTCTGAAGTAAGAATACATTTCACAGAGCAATGCAGACTTTGGCGACTCTCAACAGTTTTAGAAACTGCCAAAGCAACTGAGCAATAGCAGCTGAGACGCCACAAGCCGCACCCACTGAAGAGCGTGAGGAGGGCATGGGCTGGCGTAATTTAGGATTTCGTGAATATCAAGTTCGCTGAATGGCGAGGGGGCAGAATGTCAACCTACTCTACCCGTTGAAGAAAAATACCGGGAAAATACTACAAGAATCATTTATTGTATACATCATCCTTCTTTAATTTCGAGTTCGTTTTCGAAGTGGGAGACAATTGGTGGAGAGAGAACACCCTGTCAGCACTGAGCGAAGAAAGCGAAGTGATGGGCAGGAGCTTCAAATAAAGTTGAAGGGGTGGAGGCGTGAGCAGGACGGCCGTGGGAGTCCGGGGTGGCGGGAGGGGCTACACACGATTGTGAAAATAAACATCCAAGAAACGCCGGGTAGTCACTAGTAAATAAATAGATAACCTGACAGTGGTAAAGTAACTCATAGATATATATTTAGCAAATCAAATTCTAACATATGTACCTCCAAAAAATCTCAGTACGAAGTTCGTCATGTGATTCTAGATTTTTTTAAAAATCCAAAACAGAAGGAAATAATTAAAATAAGTATATATTTAAAAATCCTATATTCATCCAAAATTCTTTAAAATATTATATTATTACTAAAAGAATTACACATGCACGGCATGATTTCATGAATTAATTTTGTGTACTACAACTCAACTATATGAAAAATTGTAATATGATCGATACTAAGGAGGTAGGTACATGTGACTTTAAATAAATAACTTTGTAGAAAGCCCCTCAGGTTGACAGCGTGCTAGCTTTCTGTGAGGCGGTACCGGGCACCACTTCTGGCCGGGTCAAAAATAGAGCTGTAGCATTGCATTACTAACAGTCTCAGTTCCATTGGCTGGGTGTTGGAAGAGAGCGCTACGGTAGGTACAAGTAAGCTGGGTACTGTGATGGGACTTCGTCAAGCTCGGCACACGCACCCCTTACCCCCGGCGTGGATAATAAATGAAAACACGGGCCAGGGAATTCCATTAGCTGGCAAACATTGAATTAATACAAAGCCAAAACATATACACTAATTTTAACATATGTACCGTCCTGCATTTCCCCATGCATCGTTCGTCATATGTTTGTAAAAAGTTCACAAACTCAAAACATGAATATTATTAAAAAGAACTCCAGATTTTAAAATTCAACCTTCACTCACCCAAAGTTCTTAATATCATATTATTACTAAAAGAATTACACCAAAATGACAAGGATTTAATGCTACAAAGTGTGAACCATAACTCCAGTTGATGGAAAATTGTAATGTGGTCTGTAAAAACCACATAGCTTGACGTGCCTTATAATTAATTAAATAAAGAAAGAAATGAGCAAATGAGCACGGGAGCGGCACTGACCGGCGGGGCAGGAGGGCAGCTCGAGGCGCGGGATGTTGGTGACGCGCTGGAAGTCGTCGTGGCAGGCGTTGCAGAAGTGCGTGGTGCCGAAGCAGAAGAAGACGGCCACGGAGCAGCAGTAGCGGCACTTGTACTCGAGGAAGTCGGTGCCGTGCTTGGGACACATCTGCGCGCGCGACACGTCGCTGCACGCGCCGCACACCAGCTCCGCCGGGTCGTATTGCTCGCCCAGCTCCGCGTCGCACCGCGCCTCGCCGCCGTAGTAGGCCTGCACACACACACACACGTCCAGTTCACAGCGGGGCTGCACTTGGCACGCACTGGCCAAGCGCCTGTCTGCGGGCTTGCTCGATGTTGAGTCGCCCCGACTCAAAATGGTTTGGGCAAGATCGGCTCCACTTTATTGAAAGGCTAATGGCACCGGCGTTAGCTCGCTGGAGGAAAGAAGCTCGGATGTAATCAGCTCTACTCTACTGAAAGCTGAATGGCACGAGGGCCACTGTAGCGGAGCTGATCGGCTAAAGTGTAGTGAGAGGCCAGTCGCACGTGGGCCACTGAGCTGACACGGTGTTATAGAGTTAGCAAGACGGCAGGAAGAACCAGCGGTGGAAGCCTCAAGCCCTAGGCATTATGTCATGAGTCCCGCCGCCCACCGCAACACTTCCAATGGCCAGTGGACTAGGTACACTAGATGACGATCCACTTTTTCAGGGCACGGAAGTGCGACGGATCCCTGGCCTTCCCGCCTTAGGAATAAAGTTGTAACTAGATCTATCGGAATTATAGGTCACAGAGTCACTTTTTTTCAACCCGAAAATAGGAGTGATCCACTCTCTCTACAGTTTCCGGTAAGCATTGACAATCCAACGAAAACGTGACATTGAAATGATTGTGGAACAAAAAGAAATCAATCAATAACGCCGCTGACCTTGTTGCACTTGTAGCAGACGTAGTAGGCGTAGCGGTCCATGGCGAAGGAGGCGGGGTCGTTGTGGAAGCGCGCGCCGGGGCTGGTGATGGCATCGGCGCGGTGCAGGCCCTCGTACTCCAGGCGCATGAGCGCCTTGCGCCGCACGTCGGCCAGCAGCTCCCGCACCGGGGCCAGCAGCTCCGCCAGCGCGCAGTGCTCCATGCTCGCCTGCGCACACGCCCTCCGCTCGCACACCCACGCACACCCACCGCACCAGCAGCAGCAGCACACGGGCAGGGAAAGGATGCAGAAGAAGAGGAGGCCGAAGGAAGAACGGAAAGTTGAAAGGGAAAATGAAGGGAATGGAAGAAAAGGACGAATAAATAAGAGGAGGAGTGTTGGAGGAAGAGGAGAGGTATTTGGCCAAGAGAAAAGAAGTGAAAAGAAGGTAGGATGCAAAAGAATGATGGACGACGAGAGTACAGATGGAGAACAACAGCAAGGATGAAGAAGAAGAAGAATATACAAGAGAAAGAAGGCAACTTCAAAATATAATCATAAACACAGAAGTGTTCTCCTTAACAGGACAAATAATTTTTTTTTTTTTTGCAGCATTTAATTTTGGAAAAATAATATTTTAAAAAATGTATAGAAAGATAAAATACAATTCAAAATAAAAATGTTCATTAAGCACATTAGTACGATTTTAGTACGAGTTATTAATTGACAATTTATTCAATACAAGGCTATTATATCTTCAATAAATCAATAGCCCCCACTTTTTGCTTATATTTTCAGAGAATTTTTTATTTGGACTGAAGTAGAGTGGAAAGGTAGAGAAAACATGGGTGCAATTAAAGAAGCAATGATAAGAAGATCACCATTCATTGTTTTCTAAATCATTATTCACTGATGATGTAGTGAGTTATCATTATTGGTATTTATATTAATTTTTTATAATTTAATATTTTAAATCAAGTGAACACTCAGAAAACATTCGATAAGTATGAGAACTAATTTCATTTCTAGAATTTCAGATTTAGTACATTTTTGAAATTTCTAGGTTTGAGATCAATGAAAGTGGCAATACAGGATGTCATTCCCTCTCATTTAATTTCTGAATGGTTTAATAAATATTTAACTTTAACTTATTATAATATCTATCTTAGTATTATCTTTATGTAAGGAAATTTAATTAGTAGGAGACACTGCATTTCGTGAAATTTTCCAGGATTTTGTCACAGAGCAGAAGATGGTACACACCAATTCAAAACTGTTTGAATGCTTTTAATATTTTGTAAGACTATATATTCATTTTAAGAATTCCTTATTTTCTCTCTTTTCTTTTAATAAGTATAACCATTATCTTAATAAACTTGAAAATTATTACTTTTAATACATTTAAACAGACATTAAAAAACTAAGCACATCACTAAGAATTTTACATACAACTAGACACATCATCCACCTAAAATCCAATTTAACATGATCTTCAATAGGAATAAAATATTTTAATTTGTAATAGTTCACACTTCAGTCACACTCACAAGTGAAATTAATTTTCTACAGAATAATATTAACTATTATTTATCTAAATTTATCTAAAAAGTAGAATCTGAAAAGTAGGTGACTTGGTTCATGAATCACTTCTGTCAAAAATTAGTTTAAAAGTTTCCTTCTGTAAAAGGCAAATTTTAGGATATCTTGGATCATACCAATATTGACTGCTTTGCATTACTCACCTTGCAAATTGGACACTGTGAAAAAGAGAAAGTAATGCGTGGGCCTGCCCACCTCTTGAGCAGAGCATTGCGACAACAGTGCAGATGAAATACATGACCACATTTGAGCTGTGAAGGAAGAGAAAGTATGTTTTGTTACATGTTGCAATTTACATACCCACACTAAACAACAAACTACACTGTGTTTATTATTGTAGAATGAATAATTATTTTCCTAATAATATTATACTCCATTCTATTATTCAGTTAATTAAATCAAAAGACTCCAAGAAACCTAGCACAATTGTGTTTTAGTTCCTTGAATAGTACTCACCTGGATTGCAGGTGCACAAGAAAGGGCCTCCGTAAAGCAAATCATGCACATGTCATCTGCATCTTGCTTGAGGGCAGCGGTGCGAGCGCAGCCATGGAGGCAAGGAAGGCAGGTACTTTCCCCCTTAATTCCTCCACACATGTGACCACAAGAATGAACCTTAGAAGACAAAGAAGAGAACATCAGGGTTCTTCATTCATCAATTTGCATTAAATAAATATTCTTTTGTTGAATTTTGTTATTTTTTCTCATATTTCTAATGAGTGAATAGGCTGAACATCACATTTCCCACATTACTTCAAAACATTGTATAACATATTAATATATTTTATGTAAGTACCATTAGAAGAAAGAAAGATCAAGGCAGATTATGAATAAATAAAAGGTAGTCTTTATTATTGATATTACTTTATTTGTTGAAACCTTCCTTAATTTTAGGTTTTGTAAACTTTTATCTTTGAACATTGTTAGATACAATTTCTTTCAAATTAGTAATCTGTAGAATCTACCTAAAAAAATTTAATAAATAGAGACATATTTTTGGGAAATGTTCCTAATGTACTGAAGAATGCCCTTCAAAGTAATTAAAATTTCATCTACATAATTTAGTAAGAGAACTATAGAAATAAAAACTGATCTCAACTCTCTCTGAAGTAGATATTTCAGTAACACATGAACGTGCCATATGGATCAAATCCACATTTTCTGACACATATTTTACTGTCAATTTTTGACAGCATTAGTCACTCGATGCATCACTGCTATCTGACAGACTGCAAGTGGTAGAAATAATACACAGAAGACTCATCCTCTGAGATAAGATAAAGAGAAAATCAGCACGTACAATACACAGGTAAGAATACATAAAATGATGAAATGAAAAGGTAACAACAGTAGTATGCACAAGATGTTTAGGTAAGAACAGTGTAGAAGAGAGTTGGAAACAACAAGAATATGGTAGAAAATGCCAAGCGCTGGGATCAAAAGAGATGAAAATTAATGTTTGGGTGAGTCACAAAATATAAAGAGAAGTGCTTCAACACTAGGGATAAATTCAAGGGCAAATGTTCATGAAGCTTTCTGAATTATCTGACAATCAAAATTATCCACATTGAGTCAACAGAATAATTTGATTGGATCATACAAAAGTAATATTGATAAGGAAGTGAACTGTAAGGTGAGATGTGAACTTTTTAATGCATAAATAGGAACAAAGATGAGATCCCACAAGTAAATATACTGGCATGAATTTACCAGGAGTGATGAGATGAAGGCTGAAGGGAAGACGGAAAAATTGAAGAAGTCATGATCTTTGATTATATTATCATCAACATCAACAAATGATTAGACTACAAGCACATCCCTGAGATATCTCATGATTTTCCTGTTATTAATTTCATTAAGTTTGTTTGAAATTAATAGATACTTTATGACAATAAACAGGCCTGTCATCACAATCCAATCTTGTAAAGAACCAAGCCATTACTTCAAGGAGAAATTTCATAATCAAAAATTTCTCAGAAGTGACTTTTAGGTAGGAAGGACTGCACGCCGGAAATGAATGCCATGGTTAGTCTGTTAATATCCATAAGCAATGTGAATTAATACCAAGAGTGTTTGGGAGCAAGTATATGAAATATCAGAAATAAAGGAAATGAAAATGAGGGTGGGAATGAATAGAGGGTGGGTGAATATAAGAGAGGAGACAGAGAAGAGATGGGATGAGGGAGGGTGATGAGAGGGGTGGGGAGGAGAGAGATCAGAGAGGCAGAAAGAGGAAAAGAGAGAGAGGGGGAAGCAGGGAGGGAGAGAGCAGAGGAAGAGAGGGAGAGAGAAAGTAGATGGAGAGAGAGGAAGGAAGGGAAAGGGAAAGGAAGTGAGAGGGAGGAAGGGACAGAGAAGGGGGTGGGAGGGAAAGGGGGAGAGAAAGAAGGGAGGGGTGAGATAGAGGTAGAGAGAGAGGGAGAGAGGCCCACCTTTGAGCAGGCGTGGCGCGCGTGCTCCTGGCACTCGTGGTCGGCGCACACGTTGCCGATGGCGAGCAGGCCGGAGGAGCCCTGCGCGCCGCAGAAGCGGCACACGCCGGCCGCCACGCCCACGGGCCGCGCGCGCGCGCCCTCGCGGAACTCCACCAGGGCCTTTAGCGTGCGCGCGTCCGCCAGCGCCAGCACCCAGAACAGCTTGGTGCGCCCGCACCCCTCGTGCAGGTCCACCTGCCGACACCCCACGGGCCTCTTAGCGCGCACCGACATGGAAAGACAAGGTCGCGCCCCTGATGTCGAAGGTGCTTTTCCAAGAATTGGCCAGGGAAATCACTGGCTAAAACGTGGACCTACGAATACTGACATGAACACCACACTACGATTTCAAACACATCAAAGAAATGGAGCCACTTTTCCGGGTTCGAATCGTCGTCCTCCCAATCACCGGGATGGCGTCCTTTAGGCTTGCGGCTAAAAGGAAAGTTATACATAATGGAGACACAAATGACAGTTCGAAAAACAAGAGAACATAATGCACAATACTTCATAGAAGTATCGCTCCGTCGCAACAACTGTTCAGTCACGACCCATTGTGAAACCTTCATGTTCGTTCATAGCGCCCCTTAAGTCGTCATTGGTGGTGATCACGCCACAGAAGTGGTATTTCTTGTTTTTAAATTTATAAGATTTTTTTTTCTTACAAGAAAGCGGAATTGTGAAAAGTATTGAAGTCGACCCGACCGAAAAGGCTAATAGCTGATTCGGTGATCATGTGTGTGACGAGGGCGTACCTTGATGGCCTCCTCCTCCTCCTTGCACACCTGGCGCTGGTGCATGCGCGTGCGGCGGTGCAGGTGCAGGAAGCGGTCGCAGTCGGCGCACAGGTTGCCGCACACGTTGCACTGGATGATGGCTGCTGTCTCGCCGTCGTCGTGGTTGCTGCACGTCGGCTACGAACAGAACAACCCCTTACTCACCTACCCTAAATTACTACAATTGAGAACACTTAGGTTTAACAAATTCTATTCATTTAGCCTCCACTCTTGAAACCACTAACTTCTTGATGAAACCATTCAAAAAATAAAGGCGCTTTTCGGGAGGGTCACACATTTGTGACAAAAGTGACCGGCTGAAAAAAATAAACGTCCTCGCAACATTTTTGCAAGACGTCTATGTTATAAACCTCAAATAGAAGTGTAAAGTTAAAATTATTCCAAACGAATCTTGTGGTTATATATTGAAAAAATATATTAAACTCTGCACGAAATTCTACGCAATTTTAATGAAGTTGCGAAATGTTGGGAGGGAAGAGTACGAAATAGAACACTCATCTCATGGGCTTGATGTCAGAAGTCTTGTAAGATTCTACAAAGGGATTTAAAAAAGGGTAATTTGGAGAATGTAGTTTTTAAAGCCCCCTCATGAGATCTATGTGGCATTTCGTTCTCCGAAAACAAAAGCAGATCTAGCAATGTGGACAGCTAGCATCCACCTGAAGATGGCCATTAGAAGAAATATAGTTATGCTCATCGCATTTTCTCATACAAATGTTAAAACTGCACTTTTTCTGAAGCTATTTATTACGCTCATTAAATCAAACAATTTGAAAGGATTTACGTAGTATAGTGTGGCCTATCAACGGATGCTCTCGTTTCCTACGGAAGCGTTGGAACGCCGTTGTAAATACATCCGATTCCACTTAGGAACTTAACGAACTTTCGGAAGGTTTACGGCGGAAGGAGAGTGATTCTCACCGCATTTTCTCCTAGTAATGAGAATGTCGGATTCTGATGCAGTAATCGCACACAATTCATTAACCTATTTTCGAAAGAATCACTTTTAAGGCAACAAAAACATGTCACACTAATTTAAGTATTACAGAAAAAGACTGTGAGACAAGACAAGAATTGATGTCACTATTCTTGAACGTCATCCTCTGATGCTTGTAACTTTGCTTTAGTCGATTATTGAAAATGCATATTTAAGTGCGATATTGTAAGAAAACCGTATTCGATGATTGAGTATCGAGAAAGAGAGATTAATATAATCAAGGTGGAAAAAACGGTAAATGTCAGTTCTTCAGTGTTCAAAGCAAAAGAATTAAACAATGCATCTGGATATCAATATAAGCAGGCTTATCCATGGCATGAGCCCGTCTGCCGCTAATTTCGCAAGGTCATTTCCTTTTCGCTTTTGATCCATTTCTTCTTGCGTCCTAAGGAGCTATTCATTTTCTTTATGCATTATCTTCAAACTGTATGAAACGGAGATAGGTTTCATGTAAGAATCATGAGAAAGCATGTGTACAAATAATCCACAACCGATTATTAACAAATTTAATGCCTTTCTTAGAACAATATAACTATACATTTTTATTACTTTAGGTCAAACTTTACGGAATTAAGATGGTTTGTAATGAAAGTTATTAGAACACAAGTGTTCTATGTTTCATTATTAACTTTAATCTCTTTCGTTAGAAATATTCTTATGCAGTTTGATTAAACGAAATAAAAGTTAATGAAATTGATATTTTTCAAGTTTTCTAAATAAAACAAAAAACTATCAGTGTCAGTCAGTGAACATCAGGTGTCGTTCGCCAAATTGCTGAACTACGCTCCGTGAAATCGCGGGAGTTACGCAATTCGAGTCACCACAGATTCCGTGTTGGGTGACCGTCTGGGAACGCCAGAAGGCAAGATTGGCGTGGCGCTCACCCTGGGCGGCGGGGGCTGGCCGTCGGCGGCGCCGCTCCACTGGCCCGAGGAGAGGCGCTCCACGTGCTCCGAGTCGAGCACGCACAGCGACGCCAGCGCCAGCCACAGCGTGGGCGTGCGCAGGCACTCGGCCGGGCCGCGCAGCCCCTCGCTCAGGCGCGTCAGGTGCAGGATGTTCTCCGCCACCGCGCCCTTCGTCACGTGCGCCCACGCCTCCGACAGCTTGCCCTAACACACACACACAACAGTCCAATACACTACCTTCCTCACAACCGGGGTTTTGAAATTTACTATTACAGATCAAAATGCCGACATATATAGTGGAGTGCAGACATTCCACGGCCACATATCCAAAATTCGCAAACGAATAACTCTTGGTTTAGGATACGGGCTCTACATCTACAAGTACAATCTACAAGTAGATTTAATTTCTTTACACTTTTACACTCACTTACGCCAAAATCTCATTTTCGGACATAACACCCTATACTCCGGGAACAGAGTAAAATATAAATAAATAATTGTAAGAGTTCTGAATTGCGTTTTTTTATTTCAAATAGCCGAGAGAATATAAATGAATTTCGAGCGAACGAAGTTTACTTATATCGTCAAAGTAAAATATATTAAATTATTATTGTTTTTATTATTATAATAATAATTATTATTATTATTATTTTCGAGATGGAGGAATGCAGAACTTATGTAGTTTTAAGACATCGTACATGCGAGATCTTAATAATTCAAAAAAACTCCAACATCTGAAACTCACTGATTGCTTCTTTCAGCCTTAGACATCTATTAAGAGATGCTCTACGATATATCGTCGAGTATGTGCAATGCTTTACAAATAGTGTCGAAGAATCAGAAAGTAAACTCTTAGAAGTAACGAAGTAATTTCTTACACTTATGTCTTTGAGTTTTCTTGTCATTTCGTTCACGGAAAAAATCTATCGGGAGACAACACTTCAAAACCTTCGAATTGACCTCATATATTTATACACAGTATAACGCTCTGCAACAAACTGAAATGGACTGAATACTTTCTTGCATAGTAGTGAGTTAATGGAGAGAGAGAGAGAGAGATGTAATGAACGTAGGGGTTACGAGTGAAACCAACTGAGAGAGAGTGGAACGGGGCGTGCGCAGGGCGAGTACTCACGGCGGCCATGTCCTTGAGCAGCTGGATGAGCACCTCGGCGAGGCGGCGGGGCGCGCAGCCGCGCAGCCACCAGCGCGCGCCCACGAAGTCGCGCGGGTGGATGGAGGTGGCGAGCGACGCCGCGCTCAGCGCCTTGCCCCCAGCGCCGCCCGCGCCCGCTCGCCCGCCCCCGCGCGCGCCGCCGCCGCCCTTGCCTTCACCTTGCACGCTGCGCACGCCAGCCACACTCCTAACTCACTCACACTCGACTGAGAGGGCATATGCGACGCCACTGGACAGTGCGGTCGTGGGAGGGAAGAGGACGGACACAAAACATAAGGAAATAGAAGAGGAGAAAATAAGTAAGAGCGAGGAGAGAGAGAGAGATGAGAGAGAGAGAGCAGAGAGAGAGAAAGGGGGGAGAGAGAGAGGAGGGAAGAAAATTGAGTAAGTAGATGTGAAACCTGGGAGTGAGAGAAGAGATAAGAAAAGAGCTGAGAGATGATAGGAGAGAAGAGAAAAGTGGAGAGGGAAAGGAAACGAGATGGCGAAGCGAGGGGAGAGAGAGGAGACGGGAGGGATAGAGAGATAGGAGAGGGGATGAGAAGAAGTAAGAGAAGGGGGGGGAGGCGAGGGAAGAAAATGTAAATAATGTGTGATTGAATTTACATCAAGGCAGCATGAATTGTTAAGCTGGTTGAAGAATGTATTTTAGATCAAACCACTGTAGTGAGAATGTCATCTATGACATTCAATGCATTACAGAACATCAGTGTTTTTGTACTAACTAACAAGGAACAATATTAAATATGTTATAAGTGGTTATTGTTGATGGACTCTAATTAAGGACTTTCTCGTCAGGGACATAATAAGAGAATGATGGAGGCCCGTGAAAATTTAAGTTGTGTAAGAAGACTTGTTTTCAACTCTAGAGGAGTATATTGAGTGAACGCTGGCGACCGCTGGACGGTGAGCGCCTTGGCGCATGACGCTGAGGAAGACGTCGAGCACGCCGGCGCTGGTGCACGTCGAAGGCCGGCTTCGCCCGCGCCGCCGCGACCCGCCGGCGTGCTT